TCAGATGCCTTGGAACAACAGTTAAAGATGATTGTGAACTACAGTGTTGGTACTTGGAATCAAACCGTGGTCCTCTACAAGAGCAACAGTTGCTTTCTACCACAGAGCCTTCTCTCTAGTACACATCCAATGAAATATTATCATATTTACTCTCATTATCCCTCCAATTCCTCTTATATTTTCCTCAAAACATACCTTTCACAAACTTCATGAGTTTTTTTTTTAAATAACCTGATAACTCCAGTTATTGTTACCCATATATGCATGATAGCAGAGTCATTCATTGGAACATGGGAACCTTACCAGTGGCCACGTCCTCACAGAAGAATGAGTCCCCCCCCCCCCAAAGTGATCCTCTGACGTCCATACTGGTGCCATACATGAAAACATGTGCCTCCTTTCCCACATGGTAAATAAATAAATGCAAAAGGAAAGAAAGAGCCAGTCAGTTGATAGCTATTAGGCGCCTCCATGTAAGTTTATATTAACACCCATTTTTCACATTGAAAGCAGTTTAGACAATCTCCATAACCCTTAGGCAGTCTCTGTAATCTGTGTTTTTTATAGCCTGATGGTTTGTTAGGCTTAGAAGGATATTCAATGGATGATTGGGTTTCTGCCTCGTGAAACAGATCTACATATAGAAAAAGGCATTGATAAATCACCTCGGAAGGGGTTAGGCCAAAAGCTGTTTGACGTCTTATGTAGGCTCTTGGTAATACCGCTCTTTAGATATACTCAATCTCTGGGCATAATTTTTAAAAACTACTTAGTGGTCTGATTAGAATGTTACACCATTTTAGAAGAGTAAGGCCTCTAAAAGGAATGAAGATAGTATCAACTTCCCAGAATTTGGATATAAATTGAGTGATTTGGGAAGCAGATGAAGGCACATTTTTATTTTAAAGAGTACCTGAAAAGCTAAGTGGAGGATTAATTTCCGGAAAGAGGGCTTCAGATGCTTCAGTGACCTTTACAGGTTGAGGTGGAAAGGTCGTGTGCAAGGAGCACTAACATGTGGTAAGGGATAGTCAGCTGCCTGTTTACCTGCTGCCTCTCATTTCTTAGTTTCCTAAATGATTTCTTATTTGGTATCCCTTGTAATGGACCGCTGCTATTTCAGCCAGAAAATGTGTTGTCTCTAATGAATCCATAATTGATGGGATTGCTTTTAGCATTAAAATAAATTCTTTTTCCTCCAAAGGGCAGTATGTGCATGTATTACCAAGAAAGGTATTTAAAGTCAGTGTACATATTTTCCCATTTGCTCTGGTTAAGTTCCAGCAAAATTTAAGCCTTCTAACCAACTGTGCTGATTTCTGGGTGGCAGAGATCAGGCTTCTGTGATACCTGGAAGGAGTTGGGTGTTCATTACTCACCTAGGAACTGCTGTTGGTTGTTCATTACTCACAGAGGAACTGCTGTTGGTTGTTCATTACTCACCTAGGAACTGCTGTTGGTGAGCCATATTGCATTTGTGAACTGTAAGTAAAGTAAACCATACTCTGGGGTAGGAAATAAAGTAGAAGAGTTGAGGTAGGACACTGTTGTAAAAATATTTCAAAGTAACAAGTAGCCAGGCTTGGTAACGGAAGAGTATCTAAACCAGTGGGAGATTTGGGATTAAATAGAGAGGTTATTTGATATAAAATATAGACAGTGGAGACCCCAAAGTAAATTTAAGGACTTCTCCTATTAAAAGAGTCGTGACAACTACTATTCTTTTTTCTTTTTCTCTTCTTTTTCCACCTCCCTTCCTCTCTGTCCCCCTTTCTCTTTTTGAACCAGAGTGTCTCCACATAGTTTGGACTGTCCTAGAACTCACTGTGTAGACTATGCTGTCCCAGAACTCAGATTCCACCTGCCTCTACCTCCCAAGTGCTAGGATTAAAGGCTGTAGTTAATGTATCCTGTCAGCCGTTGGACAACTGAATCAGTTTTAGTAAATACCCTACAAGTAGATTGATAGCTTTGACCTAGGGCATAATTGAGAACTCCAGGGTTACACCCTGGTAATTGGTAACATACAGTTTAAAAGATCTGTCAGGTTGTGATAACCTCCAAAGTTACATCCCTGATTAAAGAAGCCTTTGATTTCTCAGAAGACTTCTTTTGTTCTTAGTCCCATGAAAGAGAACTTGGTTGCTTCATTTTAGGGATTCATTTAGAAGCTTATGCATAAAGCTATAAGTAGGAATCCAAAGTATACAGTAACCTGTTAGTTTTCCAGAGGCCCTAAGCTGTTTTCTGGTGGTAGGATTTAAGAAAGACCTGGATGGCTTTGATAGGATTGGATACCCTGAGACAAATGATTTCCAGATAAAGTTTCTACAATAGTAATGGGGCTTTAGACTTAGAGATTCCATATATCCTGTGATCTAGGAAAGTGAAAGGTTTTGTTATATGACTTGGGGCCTCAGATTATTTCAGTTTTGTTGAAAACACCCAAAATATTGTAGATAGAAGCTAATGGAACATAGAGGGCCCTTTTCTTTCCACCAGGCCGAACAAGCTGTCGAGTTGTCTGTTTCAGTATCATGCATTTCTTTGAAACCTGTTTAAATTGATGCTTGCTGACTTTGACTTCCAAATGGAGCAGTTTGTTACCTTTTTTCTTTCTTTTTTTTTAATTGTTTGACTTTATCAGAGGATATAGTGGGGGTGTAGTGATCATGCATATTTTTTCTGGAATGGCTTTGAAGACACTGAGGTTGATTTGGGGTGGGACGTTTGCTTTGGATGATCAAAAATATGTGAAACTTGTATTCACCTTTTTGCATCACCTTCCTCTTTTTCATGGCCTTTGCTTTGACTCTGGCTTTGGATGAGATAGAATTTTTTTTTCATTTTTGTTGCAATTATCTTGAAAGGGCTCTTCAGATAACTTATTTTTGCTACTTTGTTAGAAAATGTGTGGGTTTTGTGTGTGTGTGTGTGTGTGTGTGTGTGTGTGTGTGTTTGGTAACAAAATGTGCCTCCCAACATGCATTAAAATTCGTTGTCTGTTTTAATCTCTGTGTGTATGTGTTGTACATGTCTACATAAATGTCAGAAGTCGTTGTTCTACCTGTGAATCCTGGTGGTTGAATTTAAGCCATCAGGCTTGGCGGGAATTGACTTTCTACCCGGTAAATCTTCTCACTTCCCCTTCTAGCAAAATTTTGATTAGAGAATACATAGAATGTGTTTTTTATAGTCTTTATACTGTTTATTTTCTTAAGTTTCCCTAGAGCTGAATGAAATACCCATCTTACATCTTAGTATAAGATTATAAAATCTTTCTGCTTACACCATCTTCATAGTTTTTGCCTGCTTGTAGAATTTTACATTATCTGATGAGGATTGTTACTCAAACCACAAAGCAAGTGTTATATGTGTTTTCGAAGCATCTGGTATAACATTCTCCATTCCAGTATTCTACTTTGCAAATTCCAGTTGTTCCAGCCTCTCCTAAAATTGTTTTCTGTCCCCTGAACTCATTAAACAGCACTGGTCTTTTAGGGTCCTCCCATTTTGTGCAGTAATTCTGAAAGTGTCTCTAAACAGAAACCTGAATTAATCCTTGAGTTCAATATGTTTTCCATCTATGTTTAACAGTTTTCTGACCCTATTTCTGGGACCCCTTTGTCCATTTTTATATTGTTTAAAACAGTTATTCCAACATAGCTGTCACGGCTTAATTTTTTTTTTAACTACGAGTTTCTATTAGTACATTTTACAGCTATATTTGGAAGAGTTATGCGTAAAGTTGGATATCTGTCGTTATATTTTTATGTAAGTATGTAATAAAGGCAAAACAGTATTTACTATAGGATTATAAAAAGAATGGACAAATAAGTGCTGGGCAGATGGCTCAGTCAATAAAGTACTTAGTGTGCAAATGTGAGGACCCACACAGTCTATAATTCCAGTGTTTAGGGGGAGAGTTAATGAGAATCACATACATGTACATGATCTAGCACTCCTCCCAAATTGGTGGGGTAACAACAGTTTGTCAGTAGAGAACTGGTTAACAAAATGTTCATCATGCTGTTTTGTTTTGGTGATAAAGATGAATAAGGTAGATTATCTGTTAAATTATAGTAATGTCTATAATGTATTAAGTTAAAAAACTAAAAGCGTATTCAGTACTTTTCACATCCATGAGTTCCACATCTGTAGACACAACTAGCTGTAGCTTAAAAACATACAGTGGGAAAGAAATTACATCTATACATGTATAGACTTTTTTGTTTTCGTCTAAACAGTACATTGTTAGAGTTACATACTATTTGCATTTTTAGCTAGTCTAAGTAATCTGGAGATGATTTAATGTATATTGGAGGATTGACATAGGTTACAAAAGCAAATTTTGCTCCATAGTTTTTTGTATTTTGAGGTGAGAATCCTGGATCCAATATTCACTGAAATCTTTAAAAAGACTCTATATTGTACAGTTCTTTTTCTTTAAAAAATTGAAGTTAGAAGTATGTTGGTAAATTGAGGAAAAGATCAGAAGGAAACTTCTGAATTTATTGTTTTGTTTTTCTGCCTTATTTTTCTTTGACGTGAGCATTTATAGCATTTAAAAGTAGCAAAATATTTTATTATGATAAAAGACATTAGTCCTAGAAATTTAGAGTATTGATTCTTGGAGTAGATTTAAGATATTTTTATTTAACTCTTTTATTTTGTAATTCACTAAAGTAAGGGTCAGTTGTTAAGAAAACAGAAGAAAGTTTAAATTAGGACTGGGTTAAGTTCTAGTTCTGTCACTTAGTAACCACATTACTTCAAATGAGATAATAACTTATCTTCCAGTAGCTTCTTTATACTGAGACAGGATGTTCTTATGGAGTACTGTGAGAAGTAAATGAGACATGACACATTTGTCAGCCTTGCCTTCTGACAGGTTTTTAGCCTTTTCATAGAGTTCTTCATATGTCAATTTCCTTAGACATGAATTGTGTTCTGAAATAGAAATCTTATTGATTTGTTTATTTGTGTATTATATTCACAGAATGTTTTCAGGAAAGTGAACATCTCAAGGAAAGTCTTAAGTGTTGCTTATTGCATCTCTTTGGAGCCATTGTAGCCGGTGGGCAGGTGAGGACTGTGTTGAAAGTTAATGTATAATTTGTAGTTAACAACACGAAAGTCTCTTCATGGATTATTTAATGCATTCTGTCTTTTATAACTTGATGCTTCAGATAACTTTCAAATCTATATCTTATTTAAAACTAAACTTCTTAAAATCTTCCATTAAAAACCTAAGTAACATTAACACTGACAATTAGTATTATTGGATGAATAGATTAGATGAGTATTGATATTATAAGTTCCTATTTCTATTGACTTTTAGTTATTATTTTAAAGTATAAAGGAAATCAGCTTTATTAGAGGTATGAAGAAATAAAATTCTAGCCAGTTTGATTTCCAAAGTCATAAATTTATTCACTCTGCTGTCTAGATGCAATTACTAAATATATTTATACAGCTATATATGTTCCAGAACTATTTCTCTGGCAAACTAAATGTAATTGCCTGTTGCCAAAAGGCTGATAATTCAGAGAGAATGTTCTACATGTTTTCTTAAATGATGCATTTTAAGTGAGAGAGTCTTTGTCCTTTTGTACATTTTGTGCAGTATACCCATGTAGAGTTTGGTAAAGACACTTATCAGAATTTATAAATGTCTAAAATACATATCATAAAAGAAAAACTACCTTGAAATTTAGTTGCTGAAATGGTAATAAAACAAATTTGTGACATAATAATATGTGCTTTTGTATGGTTTTGGGATTGAATTTATGACCCCATACATGATAGAGGCAAACACTAATGCTTCTGTTCAGCTCCACTATGGTTCCTCCCCACCTCCCACCCTAAAACAGGGTTTCTCTTTGTATAGTTGTGGCTATCCTGGAACTTGCTCTGTAGACTGAGGCTGGCCTCAAACTCAGAGATCCACTTGCCTCTGCCTCCCGAGTCATGGGATTAAAGGTGTGCTCCACCATGGCCTGGCTCTCCAATTATGGCTTTTTATAATTCATAAAACAACAGGATACAGCAGTGAGTCAGTCATGGTGCTACAAAGCTTTAGTCAGAAAGGTGCAGGAGGTTGAGACAGGATTCCTTGAGCCAAGGAATTTGGAAGAACAGCATACATAACCTAGGAAGAACTTACGTTTGATAGGCTGTAAAGGATCTTGCTATGTCGTAACAACTATAAAATATGAAAGTACACATTTTTATTGGTGGCAGAATCACAAGAATTACATCGCTGTGTTTTGTTGCTTACATTGAAATTTAAATAAAATACTATATTTCCACTGCTGAAATTTTCTCCCTATCTTTTCTATTTTTGTTTCTATCTATATTTTTATATTTTTCAATTAGTAATCTTCACATCTATTGCACATTCCCTCCTGTCGCTTTTAGATGTCTGCTAGAATTTCTTTCTCTGGTTTATTTATCCTGTTCCCTTTTTAGAATCCAGTGTCACTATTTAGGCTTCCTGGTAGGTTTTGTGCACTTCTCTTGATTCTGGTGGAATATAACAGTCTTTCTAAGATGAAAGAAGCAGTAGTTTAGATCTTGCTTTCTGGTTGTTTTTCTGAGACGAGGTTTCCCTGTGTAGCCCTGGCTGTCCTGGAACTTGTTCTGTAGACCAAGCTGACCTTGAACTCAGTATCCTCCTGCCTCTGCCTCCAGAGTGCTGTGATTAAAGGGGTGTGCCACCTTTCCTCAACCTTACTTTCTGTTTTAAGTTCGCTTATCACTTTGTTTCATTTGCTGCTTTTCTTCTTTTGGATCATTGCCTTACAGTTTCCATCAATTTTTTACTGTTGTGATTAGGAAGTGACAGATAGATAAACATGAAAAAAAAATAGGATTGGTGTTGTTGACTGAGGGGGAATCCTACGTGGGTCTCATTCATCTCTGAGCACCTAGAGACATATTCTTGTTAGTACTCATTCATAGGTAATGACCTCAAGGATAATTCTGTAATGAACTGTTACCATGAAAAATAAAATAGGTACCAGAGACTTGATTTATTGTGTTATGTGCTACTCAGAATCTTTGTGATCAGACCATAGTCAGTTAGACTTACAGATGTCAGAAGGCTGCTTGCTGGTTATTGGGTCAGGACAACAGAATTTTAGTTGGTTGAGTATTTGATGATGTAAGAAGGATCTTATTAAAGGAAAAGAAAAAGTCTGATAACGGGTCTTTCCCAAAGTGTTGTACTTGAATTGTTCACTGACATATTTGTATTTTAGGTCTGTAAATATACATAAGAGATTCTGTTGAGGCCAGGCGGTGGTGGTGCACGCCTTTGGGAGGCAGAGGCAGGAGGATCTCTGTGAGTTCGAGACCAGCCTGGTCTACAAGAGCTAGTTCCAGGATAGGCTCCAAAACCAGAGAAACCCTATCTCGAAAAACCAAAAAAAAAAAAAAAAGAGAGAGAGAGATTCTGTTGTGTATTGTTAAGTGTAAGGATGCTAGGGTTGACCTAGGTTTGAAACAAGTCTGTCTCACAGAGGTTGAACTCAAATTATTTGTCTTTAGATTACATACTTATAATGTGCAAACAGTGATATTAACAGGATATATACAAGGACTAAAGGGCACATACTCTTGGTAAAACAACGAGCAAAAGTGACCTGTGCTTGTAAGAATGAAGGAGGTTAGAATTGTATCTGATTTATTATTTGCAGTATAATAATGAAATAATCCAAGCTTAATTTAGTTTATTTTTGTCTCTGAATCAAAAACTGCAATTGTGGAGTTGGAAATGTAGCTTAGTGATGCAGCATACACTTAGCATATGGTCGCCCTGGGCTTAGTCCCTAGCACTTGAGGGGAAAGAAGAAAATACAAAGTTAGTAAACAGTTCAGGCTCTTCAGAGACTCTTGATTCCTTCTGAACGTCAGTTTGTTAGCAGCTGCCAGTGTTTTGACCATAATGTCGGACATTTGGAGCACAAAAATGGGGTCATGATAGATACTGACATAAAATCTTTTCAGGAGATACTGATCTCTCATTTCTTCATTCTCCCTCCTTCCCTCCGTCCCCCTTCTCTTCTTACACGGGTCTCACTATATAGCCCTGGCTGGCTTGGAACTCACTTTGTAGATCAGATCTGCATGCCTCTGCCTCTCAGGTGCTTGAACTAGAGAAGTGCCACACTGCATCTGCTCAGTCCCGTGTCTCCTTTACCAAACTCGGGCATTGTCATGTAAAAGGACCAAATGTGTCCAGATGGTAAAATTCATTTCCTGAGCCTTCTTATCAGCAGGGGAAATAGACAGTATGATCTATATTGTTGGTAGCCATGTATCCAGGAAAAACATCCTGGTTTCTAAAAGTCTAGATTTTTAGGAGTACTGATGGTTAATGCCATCAGTACTTTCTTCCATAATATTATCTGTTATTATTATTATTGGTAAAAGTGAGACTGAGTGACCTATGGACTGTTATTGCACACTTATGTTCATTACATATTTTTTTTCTTCTGCATTATTAGACAGTGAACCTAGGACTTCATATGTGCTAGACACTGCTATAGCACTGAACTGTATACAATTCTCCTTTTTGTCACAATTAAATTTTGGGACAGGGTCTCACTAAATTGTCTATATTAGTCTCAAACTTGCTTTGTAGCCCAAGCAAGGTATGAACTTATTGGTTCTCTTGCCTTAACTTCCCCACGGATCTGGGATTATAGACCTCTGCTATAAAGCCTGGTTTTATTTCATTTTAATAGCAGCTACTCTACATAAGGAGTTTCAGGGCTGGAGAGATGGCTCAGAGGTTAAGAGCATTGCCTGCTCTTCCAAAGGTCCTGAGTTCAATTCCCAGCAACCACATGGTGGCTCACAACCATCTGTAATGGGGTCTGGTGCCCTCTTCTGGCCTTCAGGCATACACACAGACAGAATATTGTATTCATAATAAATAAATATTCTTTTAAAAAAAGGAGTTTCAGAAATATTTATAAAATCAGTCATTAATGTGTCAGTCATTTTACGTTAAACCTAAGTCATTTGGAATGGACTTAGTTCTATAACATAAAATCTAGTAACACTGATGTTTTAAATTTACTTAAGAAATTTAAATGTATGCAGTGTATTGGCAGAAGTTTCTGTGTGTCCCGTCCTATATTATTTAAATCACTGCTTGGCTAATATTTTAGGCGCATTGCTAGCTAGCTCTTCTGTCTTTGGCTAACCCATTTCTCTTAATCTGGGTATTGCCATGTGGCTGTGGCATACTGGTAAGATTCCATCACATCTGTCTCTGGCGGCGGCTACATGGCATCCCTCAACTCTGCCTTCTTTCTCCCAGCAGTTTAGTTTTCCGTGCCTACCTCTGTTCTGCCCTATCACAGGCCAAAGCAGTGTCTTTATTCATTAAATAAAAGCAACACGTAGAAGGACTTCCCACACCATTCCCCCTTTTCTATTTAAATAAAAAGGAAGGTTTTAATTTTAACATAGTAAAATTACATTAAAAAAAGGTATCAAGCAAGAATTATAACTACAATACTTACATCTACTTTATCATAACTAGAGAAAACTATATCTTTTCTTCAACTCCATCAAGGACTCCAGATGGATATATTACCTGAGTAAACAGGAAGTGTATTGTAAGCCACTTTCAAGTCTCTAGAAATGACAGAGACATCTCGCTGTGTGGATAGTCACCCACAGATCTTCTGTATCATTTGAGCATCCATCTTCAGCCCAGACTACTGGCCCATAGTATCCAGCAGACTGTTCCATGAAGCAGGAAATTTCAAAGACAGTTCCACCTATATTGTCCGTTTGTCAGTCACTTTCTTCTGTGTCCTGCAGAATGTTTGGCAGACTCTTTCATGAAGCAGGGACCCCGAAGGACTGTCTCACCTTCTTTAGGCAGTTCTGTGGATCTAGAAAGTCCAGTCAAACAGTTAAGGCAAGAACAGTTTCTTTCCCCAATGGGTAACAAACTCCTCACTCCATGAGGAGCCTCTTCGATGCCCATCATCATCTTGAAGTAGCTTGGTACTTCCAGGAGCAGATGTGTCTCACTGTCATGAAAAAATCCTAAGTTCTTAAAACATTTTAACTTTCATATTCTAGAGGACTTTGAAAGGTTTGAAGAATAACTATTCATCTGAAATGTGTCTCTGTACATCTAGAAAATTTAACATAACTATAAGCTTGACTATTACAGATGATTATCTGTTAACCTATATTTTTAAATTATACATTACATTTTTAATGAGATGCACAAACATGAGACCTTAATCAAGATCTGAAATATATAGTATACATATAACAACATTGACCTTAAATTTATATCAATAAACCGAGTTCCATGCCAATGAAAATTTCTATAGCACATTCTCCTTTAAATGTAAACAAATATTTATAAACAATATTTAGGAATTTGGGCATAGTTCTCCAAAGTGCTTACTGCTTTTTGTTGGGAAAAGTATTTTGGGGGGTGTTAATGGCATCCTTTCAGGGGAGTCTTGCTTCATCTAACCACATTAGTCTAGAAGAGATCCATAGGTTCTCATCCTCTATGGAAGCAAGTAGAACCTCTTTTCCAAAGCATTTTATCTTTCGACCCATATTTTGAAATCAAGATACCTGTCAAGTATGTATGTTAGTTTATCTTAGCAGCCTGTACAATGAAATGTTGCTCTGTACTTAGCTCTTTCACAGTCAAAAAATTTAAAGGAAACATAATAGTACATATAATCCAAAATTTTTGTCTATATTTCATTGTTATGTGGCTTATTTTTCTTACTCTATTATTTTTCTACAAGTTTACTCTGTCTCTTTAAAGACTTCATTTTATTTTTTAAAACTACTTACTTTTTTTTTTTTATAACTCTCTATATTCTTTTTCTTCTCTGTCCCAAACCTATTTACATTTTTCCAGCATTGTGACCGGTTTACAGGTCTTTTTTATCTGAATTTGTCTTTATTGCATATTTGTAATTTTTTCCTGACCAGAAGCTCCCCCGTTTTTTTAAATGCTAAGTGGGCATAGCTAGGGCCAGTGCTTCTTAGCCTTTTGATTCAGCCCAGTCCAATGTGGTGGAGGTCCATTCACTGCCTCTGAGACTGCCAGGTGGGAGCCACGCTCACCACTTCAACTCTGGTAGCCTGTTGGCCCATGCTTCCAACAAGTAACTTACAGTACACTAGAAGCCCACAAACCCCATTCAAGTGCTCGGCCTCCTAAAAGAGCCAGAGTTCATGCTGGCAGCACAAACCAGGAAGCTTCCATTTCAAAACCACTCAGTTTTTTTCCACCCCAGTGGTATAAATCACTGAATCAGGAAGACCCCTTTTAAAGGAGCTGCGTGGAATTTCTTCCCAAACTTTCTTACGTTTTAAGTAGATTTAGTTGGCCACGTTGGCCCCAATTTGTTAGTGGAGACCACTTGTTTGTTCCCGACTGTCAGGACCATGGAATAATATTCAGAAGCTATATTATTTAAATCTCTGCTTGTCCAGTCACTTAAGCGTATTGCTAGCTAGCTTTTATACCTTTGGTTAACCCATTTCTATTATTTTATATTTTACCATGAGGCTTTTGGCCTACCTTTAAGGTTCTGGCTGGCAGCTTGCACCTTTCTTCTCTGGCAGCTCCATGGCATCTCTCTGACTCTGCCTACTCTCTCTCTATATCTCTTTCAGGCTTTACTCTGTTAAGCCATTGGCCAAAAGCAGCTTCTTTATTAGCCAATAAAAGCAGCACATATACAAGGTCTTTTCACACCAGCAGTGGGTACAAAAACCCTGAGAAATGTTCATGGGCTAAGATCCTTTGTGTGTCCTGTTTTACTTTCTGTACAGTGCCTACAATTTAATGCTTGGGTTGTATCTATCTTAGTGTAAGGTAGTTCTAAGCATTGTGTCTAAGCATGGTTCTAAGCATCTCCAGGATGGAAAAGGAAAGAAAGAAACCCCTTTTCATTTGTAAAGAAATAGCCCTTTTATAGTCTTTGTCCTCTGGTTTTTTGAGCAAAACCATCTTACATGGTGTCTTTTAGCTGCAAAGAAGGCGAAGTTGAACTTCAGATTAGTAGTGAACAAAATAAGGCCTCAATACAAGTAACATTTGCAGTGTTTATCAAATATATCTGTTAATAACTTTGTTAATTTATTTAAAAGAAAAAGTTACCCATAAGCTTACTAATTCTCTGTTATTGCAAATATGTAAAACCTTTAGATGTCGTTTTATTGTTTTTACTGTTTCAGAGGAATGCTTTGCAAGCAATTTCTCCAGCCACCATGGAAGTTCTCATGCGAGTTTTGTCTGATTGTGATTCATGGGAGGAAGGAGATCCTGAGGAAGTGGGTAGGAAGCGAGAACTAACTCTGAAATGCCTGACACAAGTGGTACATATCCTTCTTACTAGCAGTTCTGACCAGCGTCAGGTGGAAACCAGTACCTTACTGGAGAACTATTTTAAATTGCTCAATTCAGATCACTCAGCTTTACCCAAACAGAGGAAGTTCATGCGGTGGGAATGCCAGTTCATAGTTCTGCAGATTAAGATGCTCAGTAAGTATTCGATAAAGATTTCCTTCCCTCAGTTCATTTTTGCTTTTTTATTCTCAGTTTCTTTTGAAATGCAGTCTGCTGTATTAAAAATATTGACTGTTTAGTTCAAGTAATGTGTATTTATATTTTTGACTTCTAAATGATTAGTATGGATGTGATTTGTTTACATTTTTACTTTGTCATTTTTATATTTTTACTTGTCTATTCTTTTTTGGAAGTATAATCCAGTATAGTGTGTCTGTTATAAAGAAAGTTATGACTAAAATTGCCAGGAAGAAGAATTTTTTGAAAATATTATTTATATTCGTTTACCTATGATAAAAATTAACTAAATAAATGCTTCTCTAATGTTTCTACTCTTTAGGACAGAGAATCTAGTTGTCACAGAGAACCCTTGTGTCTTTGTCTCCTTTTCTTCTCTTTGTATTGTTTTGTGTCTCTGTGCAGCTATATCTGGTCTCTGTACTTTGCAAACTCCCTAATCAGTTTGATGATGAATTTTTGTTTTGGTTACAGTGTATTAGTATAGTACATACTCTGTATCCATTGTTTCATTCAATAGGTGACTCATACTCATTTTTCCTTTCTGATGGAGTCAGATACTCAGTAATTTTCCTGAAGTATCTCAGCTCCTACTGAGTAGAACTGGCATGAATACAACAGGCCCATTCTCTTTGTGATCCTGACGAGAGAATAATGCATGCCAAAAAGTAGTGGTGCTGCAAGCGCATTCCAGACTCCAGAATTGGTATTAAACATATCAGTTGATTATCCCTTATTTTTCATTGTTCATCTAAATTCCCTTTGATGGTTAT